CTATTATTTTTGCATTTATCGTTAGTTATAGTCAGTTTGTGGTCGAAAACCCATGCTTCAAATTCATTTGAATTGAGCCAGTGTGACATATTTGTTCTTTACGAAATTGTTAGTTAGCTATATAAATAAAATCATTATTCGTTTAAGACAAAATGTATATTATTTCGTCAGTTATATGTTTTATTAATATTAAATATAGTTTCCTTATAGTTGTTGTTTTATATATATATATATATATATATATATATATATATATATATATATAGCCTCGTGCAAATTAATTGAAACCATCGCACTTTAGTTTCCTTTCTTTCATCATTCGGTCAGTTTTATACCCTCTGGAGTGACAAGGTGAAATGGATTTCTATTTGTCTGTCTACCTCCACCCCGCTGACTTGGTATTTACCTAACCCTCCCCAAACAAGGTAGGATGCGGCACAAGTCCAGTTTTTACGTGGAGCGACCCTAGGCTGTAGGCCCGACGGGCAAACATTCCCCGTAGGCCTTGCTTACAAGTTGTCGGGTTTGTCTACTTCACCAGACGAGACTCTGCCCTTCGGTAGAGCCTCGACTGGGTTACGCTCTGCCCGAAGCCAGAGAGTTCGACAAACACTAAGAGCTTAGCGCGCGGCTAAGACCTAATGCTGACTCGGAATTTACGCAAGTCCTCCCCACAAGCGGGATGTGGCACAAGACTGGTTTTTTAACGTGGGACGTTCCGAGGAAAAAATTCCCCGTACAACCCGTATAAACGGGGTAGGGTTTTTCTACTTCGCCGTCTAGGATCCTCTCTGCCCGAAGACAGAGAGTTCGACAATCACAAAGAACTTAGCGCGCAGATAAGACCTAATACTGGCTCGCTATTTACTCTTGAAAGAACGGGATGTGGCACAAGTCCTATTTAACGTGGGTTTTTTTCGGACCCGTATGCCCAGGCAAAAATTGCCTGTAGCCCTCGTAAAAACGGGGTCGGATTTGTCTACTTACCAGACGAGACTCTGCCCTTCAGCAGAGCGTCTTCTGGGTTCCTCTCTGTCCAAAGGCAGAGAGTTCGACAAGCACGTAGAACTTAGTGCGCAGCTAAGACCTAATACTGACTCTCCTCAAATTCGCTTATCTCCGTTTATTTATAGAAAAGGATGATTCCATTCATTTATGTCTTAAATGACAGTATTGCAAATGTTCAAACGAATTATAATCCTCATTCTTAACCCTTAGGACTTTTACATTTATGCCATATTTACGGTGAGAAATCACTTCCATTCACTTGGTGTTCCTTTGGCAAGTCCACTCAGATAGTTTTTTTCACAGAATTGTTAAGTTGTTTGCACTGACTTCTGAGAGCATCCTTTCTCGATTGTTACAAACTTAAACCCTTCGAGATTTGCGTCAAACGCTATCGATCCTAAATATCCTCATATGCACCTCTGTACGCACTTGCAAAAACCTAATTCAGTAACCCTCTAACTTGAATGGCTTTTGGGCCTTGTATTGCGTGAACAACAGTATAAAGACGCCTTTTTTTTGCCCCAAAGGTGTGTTATCGCGAGACAATCGCTATTTCCATGGCAAATGTCCTGACGAAATCCATTCTTTAGTTCGTCCGGCTCTGACATTTGCAACAAAGGCCCACCTTCAGACGTCCACAGGTTAGAATCATCCCTACTCTCCATAGAACCCGTATAAACGGGGGTCGGGTTTGTCTACATCGCTAGATGAGCCTCTGCTCTTTGGCATAGCCTCGTCTGCGTTCCTCTCTACCCGAAGGCAGAGAATTCGACAAGCACTAAAATACTAACGCTCCTCAACTCCGCTTAACTTCGCTTATGTACATCAAAGGACGATTCCATTCTTTTATCTCCTATATGACATGAAGACATTTAAGTTCGTCTACGGTTTTACATTATATTTGTACTATTTTTAAAAAAACTATTTACCTTTAATCATATACATTTGTTGTATGAATACTATAGCGATTATCTTGATATGTAGATAGATATAAATACATATTCGTTATTTACACTACTTACATTACACGCTCCTCATCATTATTTGCGACGTTTTGGTCGTTGTATGCTGTGGATTTCTTCAGCTGATATTTGTTGGTATTTCGAAACGAACCATTTATTTAGTCTACGGGTGTAGATTGTTCTAATTCCACATACCATGCCTTTGGATATATTATTTTCACATAATTCCCCTTTAAAATTTTAAAAAAGTTTTCGTTCCCTCTGCTGTGGTTAGGTATTGAACTCACAACTCCTTGGGTTAAGCCATATTGGGATCAATCAACCAACGCTTTTTTTTCCACTTAAACAATGTAAATAGTGTAAATACATTTTTGTATGCAAACCTTTCTATACCTGTGTAAATGTGGATGTATATATATATTTGTTCATGTGGATATGTCATGCTTTGTGTGTACATTTAAGAATTAGTTATTAGATGTGTATATGTATTTTAATTATAATCATATTTTTGTTGTTAAATGTATGTTACA